TTAATTTGAGGACATTTAAATATGTTCGAAAATCTAGAGAAAATTAATTAATTAACTTAATTAATTTTATTTTTAAGTGTTGTAGTCACTTAAATTGATTTGGGGTATAATATATGTGAAAACTATGCTATATCCTTTAACATATATTAATTTGAGTTTATTTGGGATTAATATGAAATCTAGAGACTTTTCATGTTAGGTTGAAAATCCCTTTTAATGTAATGAAATTAATTACCCTGTGAACATATTACTAATTGGATGTAGAATTAGTACTTGGGGCCTCTTAAAATGGTAATTGGACTTAGCATGATATAGAATATTATTGACTTATAAAGCTTGTTTAAATATATCTTGTGTACGTATATAGCTTGTTAGAATATTACAATTGTTTACCTTGAAAGCTTGTTACTAAATTGAAGCTTATTTAGTACTTGTGGCTTAGGATAGTAATGTGACTCAATTGTTGTAAAATATTCTTGCTGTGTATAATTGCATATTGGAGACTTGACATGTCATATGCTATTTAGACTTGAATCATTAGACATGGTTTGTGTGGATTCAACCTTATTTGTGCATGGAAGATGGTTTTATGCATTATTGATTTTGATATAAGTTTGGTCTAACTTATTGATTTTGGTATAAGTTTTGAACTTATTGATGTTGGGAAGCTTGTAAGGACATATTTCACATGATAGCTAGGGTTTGGCTCTAGTACGGAGAAAAGAGTCTTCTAAGTCATAAGTGCGCACTAGGTAGTACCTTGTGGGTCGTAATTGCCCAGAATAACTTATGCATGTGTGCACTAGGTAGTGCCTTGTGGGTCATAATTGCCCGGAAACACTTGCTTGGTCTAGCGACCGTATGTCCTAGTCTTTCCACTATTTGATTTCGCATTCAATTTCAAATTGTTAATCATGGATTACTTGTAGCTTGAGAATTGATGTTTGCTTTGGATATTTGAATCCTATTTAGTATACTTGAACTTGTATACTTGCTCCGTGAGTTTAAATTTCATTTAGTATGCTTGTGCCGTGTATACTTGTTTTAGGCGTATCTCTTTTAGCTTAGTATACTTGTGTTCGTATACTTGATTTACGAGATTTCCTTATAAAATGTATACTTGTGTACATATGCTTAGACATTGCATGACTTGTCTTAATATGGTTTAGTATACTTGGAAATGTATGCTTGTATATTGTGTAGCATGTTTTAACAATGTTTAGTATACTTGAGCATGTATCATTGTGTGCCGTTATTCACTTTAAATTGCATGAGTAGCTTAGGATGATCCCTGAGTCTCATTTTGAAATAAACGTTAGGTGGCATGAGCCCTTTAACATGTTTCACCATAAGGTGATAATTTGTAAAATGCTAGGTCAATGCATTCTCACTTCCTACGAGTAGCTTTATGTTACTTACCCACGTAATGGGGATATTTTTTAGGTACCGGGATCAGGATTCGGGATTCACATCATGCTTGGATGATTTGTAAACTTGAAGTTCTCATTTCTTGTAAATGTTGGCTTGAAATGCCATTTATAGCTTTATAAAAATGTGTAAATTTGATTCTATTTTTGTAATGTGTACATAAGTACACTCTTTACAATGTATTTGACATGTATGAGATGAGGCCATAGGCCAATGACATCTAATTTGTATCCTATGTAACTTTTAACTCCATGAAATATTATGAAAATATTGAAAAATGCCGAGTCATTGCTTCACTATGCTTGCATCGGGTGTGGGAATTTCATTTTTATTCTTTCATAGGGTCTTATAAATCATGTTTGAAGTGAGGCCAAGGGCCAAATGGTAATTTGAAATCATTTGTTAATTTTGGTTTTAAAATTTCCCTTTTCTTGTTCATTTTCGCCTTTTTGGCCGTTGGGGGGTCGGATTTTGCATCGGGTCTTCTCGGGAGTCGCAGACCATTAAAAACACTAAATACACTTGCGTGCACATTCGTTTCAACCTAGAAATGCATTTAGGGCCAAATGCATACTCGGTGCAAAGTTGCATTTTTTTGAGTTTTTGACCCCTTACTGAGCTAGGGGCATTTTAGGCATTTTACGGTGAGTTTTTTTTTTAATTCTCTCGAAAGTCATGTAGAAAACTCAATTTTGAGGGGGGTTTCTTCTTTATGTTTTTCTATAAAAATTCATCTACTAACCCGTTTTATCTCTGTTCTGGCTGTTTCTGGAAAAAAATGCTTGTAGCAGATTTTTGGGTCCCTCTTGACCTATTCTGTTCTGAGGGCATTTTAGGGATTTTACAGCATTTTTTTTTTTTTATTTCTTCTGCAAAACCGGGTAGGAAACGTGATTTTAAGGGGGGTTTCTTCTTCATGTTTTTGCAGAAAAATTTGTTTAAGGGTCCGTATCTAGCCTCAGTTCTGGAAAAAAAATTGAAAAGTTGCTTTCTGTCAAAACACTATTCCTGCCCAGATTTTCGTACTCGGAAAAGTTGGTTTTTTTTTTAAACTTTGAGACTTCATATCTCCTTCGTCACGACTCCAAATCAAGTGATTTTTGAGTCTAAGTTTATTAACTTTTGCTTGTCTATCCAACGGTATGAATGGTTGCATCCAATTCTATCTGAAAAAGACCATTTTACCCCTTGCAAAGTACCCTTGCCACATTGATTTGAACCTAGAAGTCTATTTTTTTGATACTTTGAGGCTTCATATCTTCTTTACCCGGACTCCGAATCAAGTGATTCTTGAGTCTAGATTTATTAAATTTTCCTTGTCTATCTAATGGTATGCTCAGTTGCATCTAGTTTTGTTTTAAAAGACCATTTTTCCCCTTGTAAAATACCATTGCCACATTATTTTTAACTCAAAAGTTTGATTTTATGAAACTTTGGAATTTCGTATCTTCTTTATCCGAACTCCAAATCAAGTGATTCTTGAGTCCATCTTAATTAGTTTTTTGTTATCCTTCCAGCGATGTGCTCGGTGGCACCTGAGTCCACAATTTTTAGAAATGACTATTTTGCCCCTGGGGGCTTATTTGTCATATTTTTGATCTTTTGCTTCCGCGTCAGTTCTCATTGAGTTCCACGACCTCATGGAAGGTCACTTTAATTTCTTAAAGTCTTGTTTTCTTATTTCGCTTCCGCATTTCGGATCCGTTATCAGATCAAACTACGGTTCATTACAGGACGCACTGGCTTGAAAAACTAGGGCCGTCACATAATAAGTCCCCAAAATATCTTCCTAATTATATAGATACATGTATATGTATATATATATGTATATGCATGTGAAATACCCATAACGCCCCTCAATGAAAATGGCAAAACCAAGATAAGTTCCCGAACCTGAAAATCATCCCGACTTCAAAAAAATTTAAAAAATAATTCCGTCATTTCTAATTGACTTAAAATAAATTAAAATGTATTTCTAAAACTCTAGGCTTGAGAAATTACCTAAATGACTCTCGGAACCCGCATGGCACGCAAAATGAGGCACAATAAAGAAATAAATAAATAATTCAAAAAAAAAAAAAAATTCCAAGACATTACAAAGATAGCCCACTTTAGTAAATTATTGGTGTATTAAAAGCATTTGGGTATATAACCCATACTTCAAATTTTTTACACGCGTAACAAGCCTACAATTTTTATTTTTATATTTATTTTTTTTAGGTAAATACTTGAACCCCCCTAAAATCTTTGCTATAGGGCACTAAGAACAAGTGCACAGGGCTCGGGGAAGGTCTTCTCCGCGAGCCAAAAGGCCCAGCTCCATCAGCCTAGTGAAAAATGGGCAGCCCATAAGGGCTCGTGGTATTCCGCGAGCCCAAGCCGATTGCTATAATTTTTTTTGTCTTTTACGCTGCCAAAATGACGTCATTTTGGGATGGTGGTGGTTGTCATTTTTTGTATTGAAATCAGCCAGCAACAGTCAATTAACAGTGCCACTATTTGGCTAAATGTGTGTTTTTTTTTTTGGAAAACCCCAAAAATGGGTTATTTTGAGCTTTTTTTAAAAAAAAAATCATTAAATAAAAAATGTATTGACTACGCACTATTTGTCCAAACAAATTTTGATTTGGTTCAAAAATAAATTAAAAAACCTTTTATTTTTTGTTTTCTTCCCTTAAAAATTATATTTTGTAAACTTTTTTTGCTGTAATTTTTTTGAAAAAAGAAAAAAAAAAAAATTAAAGTCTTCGAACAATTGCAAAAGCCTTTTCTCCAAAAGAGCATTGTAAAAAAAATTAATTTAATTTTTTTTTAAAAAGCAAAAATTCGGAGAGACTGATGAAATGCTTATTTGAAGAGCGAAAATTGTTACCGTTACATTTTTGATGAGCCAAAATTCGAAAAGACCGATGAGGATGCTCTAACTCCTAACCTCCCATAGATGGAGAGGCCACACCTTCCACCAGCTTTATCAAACAAGTTTTCCATTTTCTAGTTTTTGACCAGAATAGCGACATACACACTAGTACCATTTATCACAAAATTTAAAACATTCGGTTATCAAATGAAGACCACTCAAGGGAAAACTAGATATGTCCCATATTCGAGACGCTATAAACCACTCTAGTCTCTAGTAGCTTAGCTCTTGAAGGGGGAAGGATATGGACCTTCATAAATTCATCCGGCATTAATTAAAATAATAGCCTTCCAAGAAGAAAATAATGGAAGAGGCTCAACCCAATCAAAGAAAGGATTCAAGAAGGATACGCCCCAAAATATATATATATATATATATATATATATATATATATATATATATATATATAATATATAATATATAATATAATATAATTCCACTTTGAGAGATCGTAGTATTTATTTCTTAGATGCGAATCATTGCAGAACATTCATCCAAACTGTAAACGAGATTAGTTGATAGTTGATATTACTAACAGCAAACTATGGTTTCATTGATTGGATTCAAAGAAGTCTCTGTTGCTGAGATAACCCAAAATCAACTTGGCACCAATAGCAGTCGGTTTTTAAGCAAAACGTAAACACAAGCACAACAGTTTATACCAAAAATAAAAATAAAAATAAAAATTAGGAAATCAGTGAATATACCACTGAGAAACCTTTATTGGTTCAACAGCATAGAAGTTCTCTTGCCAAGGCAAAAAACTATGCTTCAACAGCACCCTAATTAGATAGATACCTTTGCCTGTTTATCAGCATAAATGAAGATAAATACAAAGCAACCCAAACATGAAAAAGATGTATCTTCCAATATCCCTTTATCCTCGCATGTGAACATACCTTCTGCAGGTATATCCAGCAACCCCTTCCCATCAAATACAACCTAAGGAGATGTGCAATACAAAATCTCAAACAATATCCACAGTCTTTTTCTATTTACTGAAAAAAGGACTACACGTCTCAAACAGATGTATTTAGAAAGCATATTTAGAAATGAGATTTTCTTGATTCATCTTATAAACAAAAGAGATGGATTGTGATCATCAAAAACCAAAGAAGATATCAATTGAAAATCACAATATATGCATGTATAGTAAATTAGAACGATGGTGAAGAAAAGAGCTAGTTAAATCATTTTTTTAATAAAATGCTCAGCTACATCTGCCATGCGGCGTTTCTTGCCCTGGCTCAGATAAATAGCTTCAATGACGTTTTCCCCAATTTCAAATAGACTTCACTAAAATGTCAACAATGTCAGAATATACAATTTAACAACCTACATTTAGCAATCCATTTTCTATAAATCCCCTGTTTCTTTTTCAATATACCTCAACCAGACAAGCTCAGCAAATTACTTTAATTTATGTTTATTTGAAATGTGCGCCACCTAATAATTTTAGAATTTATGTTTTAATTTGATAATTGACAAGTCGAATGTATATTAGTAATTCCAAGGTTTGCAAGACACAAAGTGTAGCGAAGGTCCATAATCCTATGATTCCTATCAAACTACTTTGTTGAGTCTTCTTCAATAGTTTTTAATATATCTTTAATGATACCAAGGGCAGTGTAGCCTAATGAGTATCTCCCGTAAATCGATGGCGAGGGTTCAAGTCCCCAAGGGGGCAAATGGGTGTGAGTTTCTTGCCAAGTAAAAACAATATATATATATCTTGAATGGTCAAAGTTTCAAAAATTTTATTTTGCAGTCATACTCTCACCAAGAGAAGTATTATTCTTTTTCCTGATAAGTTCACCAAGAGAGAAGTCCAACAACCTATAAATAAAATATGATTTTCATATTCAGTAGTGTCTGGTTATCAGGCTAAATTTATGAAAATAAAGACATAGGAATTTTAGATGAGATTTACAAGCTTTCAAGCAACTATTATTGATAATTCTACACCTGAATATCCTACCTTCGCAAGTCCAATTATTCCAAGTAAAAGAACCAACCCTAACAACTGAACTCCAAAAATAAGCCAAGCTAACTTTCCAAGTTATCTCATTCATATCACTGATGTTATGAATGAATAGTGTCATATGGTTGACAAAATTAGTTTTTCTTAAAACCATATCAAGTTAAACTTTTTATAATTAGTATTGAGCCATGCACAAGCAAAGCTTCAAAGGTCATGTCCATCATCAAGCCAAGTTGACTACACTCACAAACAATCAGGTCAACAAAATCAAATGTATGTGAGAACTGAAGACGCTTACAATGCTTTAGAAAATCTTAATTTTGTTTATATACTTGTCTTAAAAAGGTTTTGAAAAGTTAGGACAAAGTTCTCAAAGTGATTTATAGCTTTTCATTCAGAATAATGGCATGCACTGGTACACCTACTCATTCTGCGTGAGTACACTGTGCAAAGATTTCCAAAAATCAATTCTAGAAAGAAATGCACAAATACACTTCTTCAACTGAACTGATCGATCTGCTAAATTTCAAGAAACTGGAATCCAGACACAAGTGCCATAGGCCTATAATGCACTATTTAGCCAGCACCTGTACACTTGAAATTTTGGTCGGGACAGAGGTCTTTGTGTTTTTTACCGGTTTTCGTTTTCCATATATAACATTGGTTGTCACTTGGGCTTTGTGGGCGTAATTTAAATTGTTAATGGTATAAAATTGGACAAAGTTAAGAAAGGCAAACTAGATCTGTTCACACCCTCTAGGACTGTTTTCCATATGAGAATTTAACTAGGATTCTCGCTTGCGCCACTCTCACCCAAAACACCCCTTACCAAAAATTTACCAAACACTAATCAAACTCGACCCTTTCCACATCTTTTAACCTTTTAATTGAGACCAACTCCTAAATTACTTGATCTCTAAAAATTCATGTCACTAGTTCTTTAAATTACTACAACCTATCATCCTTCTTTTTAATAAATAAAAGCAAATCACTTAAAAGAACCAACCCTCTTTTCAGACCTGGTGCCTTGTCCTCATTCAACGTACTTTCGGAGATTAACTCTATTCTACCCTATAACTTCCTATAAAAAGCAAGCCAATTACAACCCCTTTTGTCCTAAAGCATAAAACCTTTATTAGGAATAGCAAGGCGAAAGGTCAGCAGTAAGGTACTCTTATCCCAACACTGTCCCATGAAGGAAACTCCTACCGAAACCTTGTATTTTACACTTGGTACTTCTACTTTATGATAACATTTTAAAAATGTTATGCCTATTATTGTTAGGTCCTTGCTATCTCCATCTTCTACGTTTTTTATAATTGCCATATCGACATGTCAATATCATTCTGTCCATGTCCATTGTATAAAGTCAATCCCTTATGTAGTTTAACACTATGCCCATATTTACATTATGTGAACTACCTCTTCAAATGATCTAAACCAGAAAAGTTCAACAAGTCAAAGTTGCTTATTTCTTAATCATATTGTATCCTAGGGCATTGTTTTATAAAATGTATTGTAGTGTATCTTAAGATATTGTTGCAAGCAAGACCTCAAAAATATTTTAAGTCAGACAAACTCAACAAAAAGATTAGACATGCAAATGTCAGGAGTACAAGCATATACAACCTAATGTCATCCGAATTCAGAAAATCAGTATTCGGAGAATCAAACATGTGCAGAGAGGATTTCGCAATACAAAATGCCACATTAAGAATGGCAATATCCTATGAGTTGTGAAACATAGACTAAACACCACAATAAAACAACTACATTCCTAAAATAAATGTTTTTAGCAGTATATGGATCACAGTCAATTTGGACACTGTAATTTGATGAGGACACTGTAATTTGACGAGGGCACTGTAATTTGATGAGGGCACACTATCCTACTATCTAGGCATGAAAACAGTACCAATTATCATTTAAAATGTGAAAAATGGTTCAAGGAAGAGGCATTTTAAGTCTTAAATGGCACAACACTAGAGATTTAAAATGTGAAATATGGCTCAAGGAAGAGGCATTTTTAGTCTTACATGGCGCACATTAGAGTCATTTTCCTCACCAGAAGTTAATAAGCAACCATAGGAAAGGCATGTTAGTATCATCAATTCATACAAGAAAGAATGTTCAAAATCCTTCACAGATGTCAATTCAAAAGCATGGCTCTGAGTTGACACATCACTTGATTTGACTTCAATTGAATCGACAAAAAAATTATAAAAATGCAATGAGTTTCAGAATTTCAACCAAACACAGACTAAAATAAAGATGGCGCAAGGAGGAAAACAAAAGATAGAAGCAAGGGGAAAAAAAAAAAAAATTCCTCCAACCTGAAATCTATCAAATAGAAAGTTTTTGCAACTTCCGCAGTCGTTTGATGGCAGGGGAGATGGACTTTATTCCCTTCCGGCTCTTCTTCCTCTGCTTTACCTTTTTTGTAGGAGGCGGCATCTCCCGAATGGGACCTGGAGGTAAACCCTTCTTAAGAGCACTGCCTCTAGGAGTAACAGAGGGTGGCAATCTTAAGCTCTGGGGAGGCAACGGACTGTGGGGCTTCCAGACCAAGTTGTTTTTCATGGAGAACCGGACCTTTTTAGCACTCTTCTCACCACTCTTTGCACTAGCATCACCTGCAGCAATAACTTGACCACACTCTTCCGGATCGCAAGAGTCCAGCCCATTTATAGTCCTCAATCTCTTTCTCTTCCTAAAAACAGTACCTTTAATGGTTTTTTTAGGCAAATCACATAAACCTGTATCACTCTCTAAGCCAGCTTCAGAGGCAACCTTCTCAAACTGCATCTGAAGATTTGAAATCACAGAGGCATTAAAAGTTATCAAATTGCCCATACCATTTGTTTCATTGCATAAGCCATCACCATTTGCATTGGTAACGTCCTCGCTCTCCTCAACTGCAAGACAAGTTTTCTGAATAACATCAGCAAGCCCATTCTTCTTCGTCTTAGCCTTTTTATTACTTCCATCCAACCCTTTTTTGGCCCTCCTATTCTTCTTTGAACTCTTACTGGCAGACGCATTAACACCTTCCGGAGCAACTTCAACTGTCTCCTTAACCACCACCTCAGACACAGTTACTTTCATCACAGTAGTAGTAGCAGTGGTAGTAGTAACTATAGGGATCAATTTTGGGACATCACCTTCATAATCAAAACTAACATGGGGAATCAAAATTTCAATGCCCGACGACTCCAAATCCTTCTCCAATCTCAGAAAATTCTCATGCAAAGTGAAAATAACCTTTCTGTTACCCTGAAGGCAATCAGGGGATGAACCTAAATCATAAAACTTAGCCGCAAAACCCATGGTCAACGCTATCGTCCCAAAAACAACCACCCCACTTCCATCCCCAAAATCAACATCATCATCTTCTTCTTCTCCTCCTTTGCGGACTCTTTGCTCCAACAGAGTCCTCCCCGTTTTCAACAATTCATCGAACATATTAGATTTAACCTTACCCACCAAAACTTTGTCCCTAGACTTGCCCATCACCGCAAAGAAAGGCCTGAATATGACATCAAGCGCATCCAAACTAACCGGAAGGAAAGGCTTGATTTCTTCGAGAAAAACAGAGGCAATGTGATAGTTGACCCCATTTCCGACTTGGAAATTATTATCACTATTATTATTATTAGCTAAAAAAGTTTTGTCTTCCAAAACATACATGAGAGGACGCAAAAGCTCCAAATCCCACAAGTTGTTCTTAAGCAAAATGAAACAAGATTGGAGAAATCGACGAATCAAGATATAGAACTTGTCTAACCTGAGAGCATCTATACCAGGCCACTCGCGACGCATGGTGATTAAGAAAACGGACAAGTAATGGAGGGAGAGAGGCAGATCGAGGAGGAGGAGGAGGGATGAGAGGCGGTTGATGAGGTCGGACTGGACAGGGGACTTGTCGGCGTGCCAGAGGCAGTAGAAGAGGCCTTTCCAAAGTTTCTTCATGTCGCTGTCAGAGAGGTGGGACTGCGAAGGAAGCCAGGTCTTAAGGAGGAACTTCAGAGCTTTGTCCCTGCTCATCTTGTTGCAGGAACCCAACTGCTTTATTAGCGACGTTCCTCCGGCAGCCGCTGGGACGTTATAATCTCCCTCCTCCATTTTTAATGTCGAATTACGGTCCATTCGATCTGTTTCAGAATGGGATGATGGATCTGAGGGATTTGGGAACTGCAGATTGAGTCCTATTGAACCCTATGCAGTGGAGATTTATTTTGCAGAGAGTGGCGGGTAGGTATTGTTTTCTTTACTCTTCGTCACTCACCTCCCTCCTTCACCTATATTATACGACAAACCCTTGACCTAGAGGAAAGCGAACAAGGAGGAGCCTCCAAGCAATCTAGGGCAAGCCCCTTTTACTACCCTTCAACCCATAATAATCATAATTATTATAAAATTAATAAATAATATTGAATTAATTAAAAAGCCTTGGTTACGCCCTGTCTGGTAATTCTTTTTGGCGTATCGTTTTAATTTGAAATTAAATAAGTATTGTATTATGAAGTGTTTTGGGTTGAAAATATAAAATATTTGATAATTTCTTTTGTTTTCAGAAATTTAAAAACAAAATATGTTTGACAAGATGGACTGTTGTCAAAATTACTAAAAAAAAAATAAGAAATATGTTTCATTTAATATGTTTTGGATTTGTTTTGAAAAAATATATATATGTATTAATATCATTATTATTTATATATAATAGTTCATTACCAATTTTTCTACACATTTCCCAAAAAAAAAAAAAATTTTGTTTAACACTAATGAGAAGAATAAATAAATAAATAACAGAAAAGAGTATAATGTGATCTACAAAAAATAATTGAAATTACTTGAAATCATTAGTTTACATCAATTTATATGGAAATAGCCACAAGTAAACAAGATTAGGTATAAACAGAATTAGATACTAGTAAATTTTATTTGACTTACCTTCAGTTTCTCCGCTATCCATGGACATGAGTAACTTTTATTTAACTCACCTTTAGTTTCTCTACTATCATCCATGATTCTTCTAGAGAACTCATTTTCTTTGCTTTATGTATGGGTATTATTATGATTACCAAACTCCAACAATTCTTTTGCATTCTTTGGAGTACACACTCCTTCTATCTTAAAAATAAAAAATAAAAAATAAAAAATAAAAATAAAAATAAAAAAATCACAAAACTAATTCAACTCAACTCAACTAAACCATCCATTCCATTGAAATACATCTAATAGCACAATATACAACATGTGTATAATAATAATAAACAATTCAAAAATTTACATAAAGATATATTTTTACTGAATAATTAATTCTAGAGAGGAGTGAATAGAGTCAATAGCCAATTTTAGTAATTTGTGAAAATGATTTCTAGTTAGGTTCTTAAAACAAGTATGCTATAATCAAATGAAATAGACAAACAATTTAAAGCATAATAGTAAGAGAAATAGGGAAGAAAAATTGCAAATAATAACTCGGCGAAAATTCGAAAACTCCTACTTCTCGACTCAAGATTCCGCTTGAGACTTCCCCAAATCACTACAGTTTCTCCTTACAGGTAAAGAGCAAACATTCACACGAAGCAAGTCCTTACTTCTTTTTCTTGCTAGGAGAACAACATTCTCCTAGTCTTCCTTTGGGTCACATACCAAGCTTTTACAATATATTGTGACTAGAACAATGAAGTACAATGAATCTCTCTCAAAGATAAAAGTACAATTTTCTGCTCACAACTAGAGGATTGAAAAATGTAAGTGAAGCTCAAGACTCACAGATGATATGAGAATTATAGATGGAATGAATGCTCAATAGGTACCAACGGCCAGTGGCCTAGCGGTATCAGCCTCTTACCTCCTAAAGAGAGGTCAATGGTTCAAGTCTCAGAAGAGACAAGTGTGTGTGAGTACCAACTAGGAAAAAAAAAATGCTCAATAGGTGCTCTTTAATACTCTTTCAAAGCTCTTGAATGCTCTCTTGAAGTTGTGTGTATATAATCTTCAAACATCCCTTCTATATTTATAGAAACTTGCAGACCAATATAGCTGTTGGAAGTGAAGTGCACGAATCCCAAGAATAATATAGCCGTTGTATTTGAATTCTGCAGACCTGCAAACAAATCGGTCAATGTGTTCCTCAAACCGGTTGACGGTTTTAACCAAACCGGTCGACATTTTTGTAGACATGGAAATTTTTATGATGAAAATAATCATCATTTAATCAATCAATGGGGTCAAAATGATGCTTTGACGGACCGTTAACAATTCAAAATGTAATTTGGGCCTTCTATCAATTTAGCCTAAATAAAATATTGGTACTGGGTCAATATTAAATTAATCCATAACCCAAATTCACTTCAAAAATGGGTTAAAGGACTCAAACCCACTTCAAAAATGGGTTAAAGGATAATTGTCATTCAAAATAATTATATATAATTATCTTGATGGATAATTAAAGTGATAATTATCAAATCAACACAAATTACAATTCCACCCCTTCATTGAGCCAATAAATAGAGGTGAGGGAGGGGGAAAGAAGGGGACGGAAGCTCTACAAAGGGAGAGGACTCAAGGGGAAAGTATTGAAGCTCTGCCAAATTCTTTTCTATTAAAAATAAAATGTTGAAGCTCAGACAAATTCTTTATTTGTCAGCATCAAACCTCCAAAAGCATCCAAAACCGAAGCTTAAAAGCATCCAAAACCGAAGCTCAAAAAACATCCAAAGCCCTAAAGGCGAAAAACAACAAACACCTTACAATCATGTCGTTCATCCACAACATCCAAAGCCCTAAAGGTGAAGAACAACAAGCACATCGAAGTTGTGCCGTTCTTCCTCAACGATTCAACAAATCAGAAAGATCAACAACAAAAATGTTCGAGATCAAGCCTTTTCAGCCCTCGATAAAAAAACTCTTTCTAGTTTTCGTCAATGACAAAGACTTGAAAAAGACACTCAACAACCTGAATCAAGATCAAAGTAGCCCTTGGATCCGAACTGCAAAGGAGATCGAATTAGATGATACACTCTTTTTATTGTAAAGATATTTACAGAGGATTGTACCCTAATTTTACAAAATTTGTGTGTACAGTGTTCCTTAAACCGGTCGATGGTTTTATCCAAATAGGTCAACGTGAACTACAAACCAGTCGACGTGAAGCTTGCTTTCCTGAAATTCTCTACTGAGCAGATACCGGTCGACGTGTTGATCAAACCAATCAACGTGAAGTTCTTCTTTATGCATTTCTAATTCTTTCTTTGCTTTGCCTTGATGATATAATGTATTAAGGGCTTGTACATATTTGTATATGAGTAAATACATATGTATATGCACGATTCAATGACTTGAGCTTCAATGTATTCATCAATACTTTAAGAAAGGATCCGATAATACTCACCATCCTATCTACTCCTTTTCTTCAAAGCATTTGTTGGTCACAAGGTCCTTGTATGTCCTTTGTAGTCATGTCTTTGCTGTTTTTGATTTTCTTTGAACTCTTCTATCTTTAATGATGAGTTCCTTGCTTGCTTTGGAAATGACATTGCTTGCCTTTACATAATGTCAATCATTTTACCTTGCATTTAAACTTAATGAAGACATTAGTATATAAAACCCATTAATGGTTTGTTATCATCAAAATCAATAGATTCCATTTGGATTAAGTCCATATGATCAACAATCTGCCCCTTTTTGATACATTTATGTGATCTTGAATTATATGGAGATGTATTTGAAAAATATTCCCCCTATCAATTTGCACATTATAAGTATAATAGCTATGCTTAAAAGAATGAAAAGTTAAGTATAGGCATGAGAATGTATTATGCAAGATTAATCCACATTGTAAGCTCATTTGGAGATGTTATCTCCCCCTGTCCACATGCTTCCATTTCAACAATGTATATATAGATAACAATAAAGCAAAATGAAGCAAGAATATAGTCATTTCATTTAATGATGGATATGAAGTACATGAATGACTTGTTTTCTATTTAGCTAGCACGTGACATTTCCAAAAATAACTAGCAAAGTACATAAACATGGTGCCTAAACAAAATAAGTTTCTAAGTAAAGCACTAATCACATAGCAATCAAAATAGGAACTGAACTAAAACAAAATAGCCTAACAAAATAGCCTAGACCTAGATCACATAGTCAAATCTGATGCTCTTGCTGCCATACATTTTCTCCCCTTTTGTCACATCAAAAAGGAGGGAGGGACTAATGAGAGCTAATAAGGAGGAAAGTCGGTGTTTATGCATAATTCCCGGAGATCATCCTTAACATTTCTAACTTCTTCCCTTAGCATCATCACTTCATCTCGTGTTTGGCGAGCAATTGCTAAATGTTCTATCATTAGTTCACGAAGAGAATGTTCTTGAGAAGAATCCATAGCTGGTTGAGGTGGTTGGTTGTTGAGGTGGTGAACCAACCTCCATGGGATCATAAGGGATTTTTTCATTGCTGTTGTTGCCCTCTGTTTCTTCCTCTTATACTCCTTCTTCCATTACAACTTCTTCATCATTGCCTACAAACTTGGGGTCAAACCAATTTCCATGATCATCATCCTGTCGCCTCATGCGAGAAGGGCTAATGTATTAAAGCAGTGTGTAGGTAGTAGCTTCATCCGAGTTTACCCTACAATCTTAACCCTTTTTGCCCGAAATATTTTTGTGAGAGTCATGGCATAAAAAAGATGGGTTTTCTGTCTTTTCATGCAATCCATCATGTGGTGGTATATCAAGTAAGCTAGATCAAATTTCCACCCTTTAAGAACACACCAAGTCAGAAATGTTTCCACGAAGGAAACATCAGAAATACCACCGAATTTTAAGATGATAGAATGAATGATAACTTGATTGATCATCCTAGCCTCAATAGATAGTTGACTGGACTTAATGTTGTCAACATTCGTGGTGGTTTTATCATGACTAATCTCTTGGACAGCCGTAAAAACATCAAAATCTTCCCCTTCATACCATGAATGAGTTTCATAGTGTTGAAAGTCTCCCTCGGGAATGTTTAGCAAGGTCCTCAAATCTCTCTTTCGGAGAGGACTTTTAGTTCCCATTATATACATGTGAAGGGAATTAATTCCATCAATCTTTTTTAGATGAGAATAGAATAGGCGTACCAATTTAGGATAGAATGGTACCTCCATTGATAAGAAATCTCTTAAGCCAATAGCATGAAAGAGGTCATAGGTATTGAGATTGTTGTATGCACAATCTTCACTGGTGAGTACCTTCTCGTAAGCAACCTTTTTTTTGAATGAATATGGTTTCGACTATCTCCTTGTATTCAAGAATTTGGAAGGGTTTGAGGTTACGAGGAACTGCAGATGGAACAGGAGGAAGAGG